GGCGATTAGAGCATCCGTAGGCTGCACAAAAGTCTGGCATCTTCACTCAGCAACTTCCTGTAGGAATCATACTCAGCACAGTTGTTCCTGAGTGTAAAACAATGGAGCTCAACGGCTCGTCAGATGCAGACTTTAAAAGTTCGAAACAGTAAAAAACAGATTAAAAAAACTTCCTTGGCATCTCCATCGTATTCATGCTAATCTAGTACAACTACGTGAATATAATAATGCTAAAAATATAGAAGACAAAATAAAGAAAATAGCTAAAAATATAGAAAGTAGGTAGGAGCTGCTGCAGCTGGCTGCCACTCTCATGGCCAGCATCAATTTGTATTTTAATTATTTTGTATTTTATTTGTATTTTAGTAATTTGAATTGTAGCCACGTTAATAACATTTGTGAGAAACCAAACCGTCAAGATTTCAGTGAGATAAGTGTATTTACGTTTGTGCAGGTCACTCACCTTCCTTCACGTACCACAGGTTCTGCCAGAGAGCTTACCCGTGGCAAGATGGCCGCCGGTGATGCCGTTGGAGACTCCGCCTTAAGATATCTAGCCTTTATTATACATATCTATGCCCTCCATCATCCCAATGCAAAAAAAAAGTATTCTGTGGGGTATATTGGCCACATCTAGAATTTTTGTTCTTGGAGGAACTGGTCAGGGAAAATGGATTGAGGTCAGTTGATGACATAATGAGTGAATAATCTTCGTCAAAGGATTTACATTTTTTTTAACTGATCAAGCACTGTATTCTATGTTCTTATACTAAGGCGACCGCTGGGGTTAAAGCAAATAGGAAAGTGCCAAAAACTGCAGTTCCTCAAATGGCCACTCGAGGCTGGCTCCAAAAGCTAGTCAATTCCCATCAACATCCATGTTAAAATTTCAGAAATAAATGTGTTTACAGCCTCATACAAAATACAGTTTTGGTCTCTATAGCTGGTTCCCTCAGTTGTGACAACTGTCCAGGGGTGAATTTTTACATAACTCCTCCTTTCAAATTGCATTAAGGCTTAAAGTTTTGCAGAATTCAGTGTGTGCCCTTTTGGAAGAGCCAGGTATGCATCATCAAAGGGAAGTCCACCTTTCTCGTCCAACTCCATGTCTTTGTTCATTTATGGATTAGTCACTAATTAGGAGGAGTGGGGCAAACTGGTGACAACCAGAACTACTACACTGAAACTCAAAAGTGGCCTTCTTTATAGTGGGGTTGTCCCAATTTATGTAAAGTCATTGATAATCACCACAAAAATGGAATTGTGCGTGTTTTCTGTTGCTTCAGTGCTGTTGATCTGACAGAGAAACACAATAATTTATGAAATGGATTTATTCATGTTCAAATATGTATTCAAACGTGAGTAGATGTAAGACTGAGATTGTGAAATTGAGGTGTTGTCTTTAAAACAATGCAACATTTATGACAGCTATTTAAAAACACTTAGCTTGTAGATATGGTTCGAGGACACCACAAACCACAACCAGTTGCAGAAATGCAACCCTTTTTTTTTTTTTTAAACAACGCTTACAGGAAACAGAGCCTCAGGGGTGTGGTGGTGTTAATCATATCAGCCCAGTCACAGTGCAAAACAAGAGTTGAACAAGTGCAGGTTAGATTGTAGTGAAAGATTTTTATTAGTCACATGATCATACAATATGGGCAGTAAAAAGCAAAAAGAAGCTCGTGTAAGACAGTGGTGTGCCGTCAGGGCCAGCAAGGCTTTCTCTGCTGGCCTAACCTCTATCAGAATCACTGGCTTTTGTTGTAATATTTTCCCATTATTCTTTTTACATTATTCCCAATAGTCTATTCTCTTGATGCTTCCAGCAGTGTATGTTTATCCCATCATATTTCAGCCATCATGTGTTACGAGGCTCAAAGAAATCTGCCCTGAGGTCTTTAAAATCAAAAGTGTAGGCCCCTGTAGCTTAGAATGAACTGCAATGAAACTGTTGCTTTAACCAATCAGAGTGCGAGCTGGTGGTCCAGGGCCATCTACCAGGCGTACAATAACGTCAGCACTTTCACGTCCTCTGATTGGATGGTCAGAGAGCTTAGTCAAAGCTAGCGACTCGTATCTGGAGTGACCTACACAAGCTAAAACTTTATCATAAAAGTATTATTTTTATTTTTTTAAGTGAAGCGAGTGGACATTCTCAGCCCTACAGCAAATTAAAAACTTCTGCCAGAAACAAGACTGGACAGGCCAGACTTTCAGCATTAGCCTCTATGGCGATAAAACAGGACTAATGTTGGAAACGAAATGCACGGATTGCCTGCTCAACAGAGTAATTGAACTCTTTGTGAGGAAAGAAAGGAGGATGTAGTTTGTGTTCAAATTTTACAAGTTTTGGTGAGTAAAATACACTGCTCAAAACAATAAAGGGAACACTAAGATAACACGTCCGAGATCTCAATGAATGAAATACTCCAGCTGAGAATCTTTATTCATTACATAGTGAACTGTGTTGAGAACAAAATAACATAAAAATGATCAATGTAAATCAAAATTATTATCCCATGGAGGTCTGGATTTGGAATCATACTCAAAATAAAAGTGGAAAATCACATTACAGGCTGATCCAACTTCAGTGGAAATTCCTCAAGACAAGTCAACATGAGGCTCAGAAGTGTGTGTG